AATTAATTTAATAATATAATATAAACCACATCATTGATCCTAAATATTCATTTTAAATTTTTATTTTTCCTATCATTACTCTTTTTGGATCAATAAATTAACACTTAAAATTTCATAATTTTTTTGCAATCTGTTGTGAATCTACTGACGTTGCCAAATTTGGCAGCAGATATCCCAACAATGTTATGGTGCTTTATAGGTTTTTATAATTTTAGAATATAGGTAATGTGTAATTAATATATTTCGTAATAATTAATTTACATAAAATATAAAAATTGATATTTATTTTTTGTATCATTTTAATTATGTAATTTTAATTAGATGATTGATAAATTAAAAATCAATTTTTAATCTTTTAATATAAATTAATTGCTAAAAATAAGGTAAAAAACTCTTTTTTATTATACTATAGACATTGCACAAGTTATTTCATTCTTTTTTTAAGTTAACCTTTTTTTTTATTATTGTGATACATTTGTTGATTCTCTTTTCAAGAACTAATTTTGCTTTCTTTCTTTTATATATATATTTTTAATGTAATAATAAGCCACACTATTAATTTTGTTACTATGCTAAATACTTATTTGATTAAAAGATTACTTTATATGAAAAAATTTTATTGAGAAATTAATTAAGAAAGTATTATATAGAAACTTAAAAAATATTGTATAAAAAGTTTTTAAATTTTGTAATGAAACTTCGTTAAAATTTTATTAAACTATTAATTTCGTTGTGTTTGATAAAAAATTAATATAAAAAAATTAATAAGAAAAATTGTGAAGCAACCCCAATATAAGAAAGGTTAAATTTTTTTTAAAATACATAAGAAGAAAAGTTTAAAGATTAAAATTATATAAAAAATAAATACTTAAAATGCTATTTTTATTTTTTATTATAGTATTAAAGTATAAAAATATATAAATAATCTTCTAAAACAAATTTTCAAAAATTGAAAAGAAAGAGTTTCCCTTAATCAAACGTCCAAAGAGTGTGTTCGGAAAACGAGGAGACGAGGAGATGAGGAGATGATGTGGCATGGGTGGGGCCACCCTTTGAAAAAGAAAAGAATTGAAAAGGTCCCAACTCCCAAATGTCTCCGTCTGCAATTTGGTGAACCAACAGTCGGTTGCGCCTAAAATGGACGGACGGTTACCCCTAAAATGGACGGAGATACGACATTAATATGGTTTTCTCAATTGTAGAGGGATGATAGTTGGCATTAACCCCTTTAAAGTATAAGGGTACTTCTATGTATGTACATCGTAGTAATAAGTTAGAGAGATACAATCAAACCTTAAGCCCAAGAACATGATACAGCCCACTTTTCCAATTTCATATGATAAGGAGAACAACACCAGCCAAATTACAAGCATGCAACTTCAAATTTCCTACGAACACAAATATGGAACAGAGCTCCATTGATGATGAGAAATATACTCCCTTCTGCCCTGCCTCGTGCCCATGTAAACATTCTCCTTCGAATCATTTCGAACAACATGTTCTCATCCCAAGGGCTAGAGTTATAAATCATACTATTTATCATGAACCATGTGGACCATGCCACCGTTAAGAAACATAAAATTCCAAATCTTGGGTTTCTCAAGCTTCTTAATACTGTACCTTGACAGTGTGAGTTGCTTGGGGATTGAACAGAGCCAAGAAGAGCAAGGGAAACGCTCAAACGCCCTACCAACTGTCACACCTCATCCATAGATTTTGAACCTTCAGACAACAAATAAACAGGTGATCTTCATCTTCAATACTCTCAGCACAAATGCTGCATAAGTGGTCTGAGTTGTTAAGATAAATCCCCCTCCTAAGCAAACCTGCTTTTGTAGGTAGTCCACAAAGCAAAAGTCACCAACCAAAGCAGCTAATCTTGCAAGGAATTAGGCCTGTTCAAAGTCCTTCGCAAGTTCTTGCATCTAGGATGATGTTCTGCTCCATCATCAGGGAATATGCCTTCTTAGATGAATAACCATGCATTGAGTCCAAATTCCCCGGGGTAAACAGTCTTGATGCTTAATAGAACGATCATTTGCTAGGTATTCAACCAAAGTCTTCAAAGTAGGCCATGGAGACTTGTGTATCTGCCTCTAGTAGTTTGAGTATGTAAATTGTTAGAGGCTTCTTCTGGTCTTTCAATGAACTGATAAAGTAAAAAACGTCTGTTTATGACTTGATCATTAAATATAGATAGCAACTGAGAGCCTATTTGGTTTGAGGGAAGTGGAGAAGAGGGTAAGGAAGAAGCTTCCTTTATTTGGACAAGAGAAAAAAAATAGAGAGGAAAGGGGAGCAAAGAAGTTTCAAACTTCATTTATTTTATTTTTTCCTTTTATTTACTTTGTTCATTTTAACATATTCAAAGAATTGAAGGGGAGGGAAGGGAGATGAAATGGTATTTTCTTCCTGTTTCATCAAACCAAACTAGCTCTAAGTTTCAGTACCTCATCATTCTTTTCTCCAACCAAATGGATTGTGCAGAGGATGATTTTACTTATACTTTTCTATAATGCAAGGCATACCATATTTACTATTTCAGTTTGTCTTCAATGGAAAATACGCATGAGATAATTTCCCAAATATTCTTGGTGATGTTTCCCTTGTATTATAATAATCCCAACCAGAAACTTAAACAAGAAATGTCAACCTGTTGAGCTCAACATTTTGAAGCCCAGAAAGGAAAGATAAAGGTAAGCCCAGTTGTTATGCAGTAAATAACTAAATATCCAAGTGCAACTAGGTAGCATAGGCCCATATGCATCCACTAAAAGAGACAAAACAGTGAAAACACCACATTGAAAGGTAGGGCATGAACTTGTCTCTAACCTTGAGTGTGCTGAATGGGGTCCCTTAAAGCTTGACAAGAACTTCAGTAAACAAAGGAGAAAGATTGGGGGGAATAAAACTTTGAACTGTTTCTTTAATGATATAATTCTGTATGGAACTCTGGGATTTATTCATGAGAATCTGACAGATACCAATGAGAAAAAAGCTTAATGTAAAAAAGTATGTAATCATGTTAAATTTTTTATTTTTTATTTTTATCAACACAATCATGTTAAATCTTACATTGCTATTTTCCCGTCTTGTGTGTCCTACAGTAGCTTTCATCTTCATTTAAGCATGCTTGTTACTGTCAAATGGACAGCATGTGGGGACAGATTCTTTTAATTGATTAACTTGTCTACCATAGTGAGATACCAAGATATTCCCAGAAGTTTCCCATTTGTATTGTATTATCCATTTTTCACCTTGAATTTCTATTCTTGAATCAAGTGTATCAAGTTGAATAGACTATAGATATTTTAAATTAACAGACCTTTTTGGTTAGCAAAAAACTGAAATGTAATTCACCCTACATTTCTTATAACCATTGATGAAAAAACATGCATCCCTAATATTAGAAGTCCACTCCTTCATAAATAGTTAAAAGTAGTGTCATTCATATAAGACAAACTATACGACAACATTCTCTTTGGTTAGACTAGTCTCAGGAACACGTGTAAACTATCTCCACAAACATCTTGAACAAGGCTTCAGCTAATGGGGGTGGATATGTTTCCGATTGTTGCCACTATAAGATTAACTCATTGAAATTTCGGGACCTTTTACCCTTACTAGTCTTATTGACACTTGTAAACCATCCTGTCCACGAGCATCTCAGGAAAGGCATCACCAAGGATGGAGGATATGATTTCAATTGTTCCCCGAAATAAGCTGACACTGATAGACAAGACATACCTGGATTTATGCTCCATTCCTAGTCCCATCTCCCATGCTTTGCTTATCAATTGTACATACACTCGGGTACGGTTAAAGAAAAAGCGCAAAATAGACTAACCTCAAGGCATAAAAGATACTGAAAATGGGGTTACCAATTCATTAGGAGTTTTGACCATTTTAGCTTCACTTCGTCCTCTAACTTTAAAGCTCATCTAATTGTTTAGTTGGTTTCCTCTGCAAAAGCATAAACACAAGCAGTTTTTGTTGGAGGGGGGCATGTGTCAAGTTATGGCCTGATATATACTTGGTATAAACAGCAGAGAGCAGGGAGGGCCTGCTAAAAAATTAGGTAAGCTAGGTAGGCTACTCTGAAAACACATCTTTATTGAAAGAAGTGAGACCCATCAAAGAATGACAGAATGTAAATTCACCTGCAAATATTCTCCCTTTGACTGTACCCACTTTTGAGGCTTTGTAACCTCTGTTTTTGCCCCCTTGTTAATCTTTAGTTCCATACCAATATTACAGGATGCATAAGTAAATAAAATGTCGATTAGTTCTAGAGCATACTGCATCAAGATGAATAATATTGGTCGGAAATGAGGCACAGAGTGGATTTGTTTAGGCATTTGAACATAACCTAACCTAGTCATATGGTATTCTGACCAATCCCTAATTTAGGGCAGAGGGTTGTCCCTTTGTTTACTAAATCTACATTTTGTTTTTTCTTTTGCAGCGAAGTGGTATTTACTAATCAACTTACATGTAGCAGATTAAGCTTATCTTTTCAGTGGTAATTAAGTCAGTACCAGGGGATTCAGGAGTCTTTTTTTTTTTTTTTTGATTCATGAGGTAGTTATTTATATGTAATCTACCAATCTTTCCCAAAGTTCAAATTTTAATTATCAAGGCAAAGATCCCTTATCAATTAATTTCATTGTTAAAGTCAAAACATAAGAATCATCAGCCCTCAAGGCCACGTAGACTTGTTTATTTTATTTTATATTTAGATAGTCAAGTTGTCAAACCACATGGAGTGATTTTATACTAATATGTAAGTAACAAAGTTTTTTTATTTATAATAATAATCTAAATAATTTGGTACTAATCTCTTTTCAATAGAAATAAGAAGTTATAAGTTTAAATCACATAATATACAAATAAAATGAGTCAAAAGAAAAAAAAAATATTGTCTCTTATTGTGAAACTCAAAATAAAAAAATAAAAAATAAAAAAACCTTTCTATACATGCATGAAATTGAAGCATAGGATTCCAAAACCTTTTACATTTAGCAAGAAAGATCCTGGCCAAGCTAGGCCCTTCAAAAGGTGACTCAATTATCAAAAGGGGTAGGAATCCCAAGCAAAGGGAGACCCAACATCCACATAAAGCTAAATTTGGCTAACTCACGGAGTTTAGGGGCGTATATATATCTCCAAATTGTCAAATTCTGCTCCACTCCACAGCAGGGGTCATTTTCTCTCTTTCTTTTTTCAAAAATTGGATCAAAGAATATTTACCCATCTTGAAAATTTTTTGAATAAATAAAATCTACCGAAAGGGAACAACTTTGTGTTGTACATATTTTTGTACATAAAAGTTTTAAGGGGAGAGGGGGGTTACCTCAATACCATGTCAAACCTTGTCATCACTCATCGACTCCTATGGCAACTTACAATAATATTTAAATATTACCTATCCATTAATTGAAGGATTACTGACATTAGTACTCGTAGCTAAGAATAAACCATTGAAAAATTCAAACCTCATTAACTAAACCAACATCCAAGGACATTTTTACGTTATTTATTCCTACATTTGATTTTTTGGGAAGCAACATAGGGTAATTATTCAAACCTTTATATTTAGTCTAAACATAAATGATTTATCTTTAATTAAACATATAAATTGACCTAAGACACTATGAAACCACTTATGAAAAAATTGTAGTTCACACATTTTATTTAGATTTATGTTAAAATGGTTTCTCTCTTCCTGCCTTAACTTTCTTTAAACTTCTTGTTCAGTTTTAGCATGTCTAATGTGATACCCCAAAATTTTTAGAATAAATAAGTGTGAGTTAGGGACTAACTTGTGAGAAAATATTGTTTTGGGCTTAATAGGCAACATTCCCAAAATCGAGGGACTTAAAAGAGGATAAATTTGGATAAGGATGAGCTTCTTTTCTTTTTCTTTTTCTTCTTTTTCTTTCTTTTCTTCCTCAGACCCGCGCCTGCTGTTCTTCTTCTTCCCGCTGCAGCCACCCGAAGAAAAAAAAGAAGGGAACCCGGCACCAGCTTTGAGAAACCGGTAAGAAAACCTGAAATTTCTCCTTCTTTCTTGTCCAAGAACAAGATTTAGGAGCTTGAAATCTTCCCCTCTGCTGCAGAAATTCCGGATCTGCCCTGCTCTGCTTCTCACCGCCGGCTGTTCCTTGCTTGTGAGTGCGAATTGCCTTGATTTTCTGGTAAGAAACAGCCATTAAATCCTCTTTTCTTGCTTGAATTGCCTTGGGTTTACCTTAATTGCTCTCGGTTCCTTCAATTGTGCAAGCCCCGTGAGTCCCCTGCACTACCGCCGGCTTCTTCCCCCCTGCTAGGTCCGGTTCTTGCTGGATTTTCTGGTATGTTAACAGCCCTCCAAGCCCCGAATTTGTCCATTTATTTGGTTGTAATTTGCTGCCTTGTGGTGTCCGAAAGTTTGCAGAAAATAGGGGATAATTCCGGTAGCTTTAGGATGAGATTTAAGCACTAATTCAAGTGGGTTTTTGTTTAATTTAAGTGTAAATTGCTTGAGTTGGCTGCTGTGATTTTTGGAGAGAAAATCCCGTGAAATTAGGTAGTGTTTTGCCAATTTTGGAAGTTGGAGTTACTGTTCACGTCGTGGTTACTGTTCACGGGTACTGTTCAAGTCACTGTTCAGAGGTCACTGTTCACACACCGAGGGTCTACAATTAAGGGGGATTTAAATGATTAGTTTGTGATATAAGAACAAATTTGGAGATATCTGGTAATGTGGAGATTGATAGGGATAGCATCTTGAGTAGGGGTAGTCATGGTGATTTTACTTTTGAATTTGTGATAGTACGGTAATTAATTTTTGGGTATTTTGATTGCGTTCCTGATCATTCTATCAGTTTAGTGCATTTGGATTGAATCTTTGGTTTTATGCGAGTGAGGTAAGTAAATTTATGGTAATGCCCGTGCAGTTTTTAAAAGCATGTTTTGATTTGTTTTTGAAGTGGTGGCGAGACTAAACCCATTTTACACAAGTATGATCGATTGAAGTGAAATTTTTATGCTTTTCATTAAATTGAGCATGCTTACTTGAAATTTAATTGATTGTCCTGATGATTTGAAAGTGATTGGTGAAGTATGATTTTCTGTTAACTTCAGCCTATTTTGTCTCCGATGTGGTCATGTTATTAGTGACCCTGCTAATGGGGATTATACGCTAGCACATGTCGACATGTTAGTGATAGAGCCGGTTCGTTCAACCTTGCTAGTGGGGGTTATACACCAGCAAATAGTGTGCCTGCCAATGGGAGGTTTATAACACTGGCCATGACCTATAGAGGAGACGTTTATTTCGTTCCCGTACTGTATCTGTTTTTCGTGATTACACTTGTTGGCATGCTATAAGTTTAATAAGGGGCACTCCATATTTTACTTACTGAGTGTATCTCATAGTTTTCCTTGTCCACCATTTTAGGAAGGGAAACCGAGGACAGGGAAACCACGGGAAGTAACGAGTTAGAAGGCTAGCCATTTTGTAAATTGAATATAGATTCTAGAAATGAATCATGATCTTGTAAACTAGAGTGTATTGGGAGATTTACGATATTAGAGCAATTATAAAATTTGATCATCAGATTTTGTGGATTGTTAGATGTGAATTTGATAAGTTCCGAGCCTTGTGCATTTGTGGGACTCTCTCACGAGTGCACAACGTCTGTCGCGCCTCGGATTTGGGTTCTAGGGCGTGACATCTAATTTGATTTAGGGAAAGCAAGTACCAAAATTATGAGTGGCGCCAAAAATAAATCCAGAATGAGGTCCCATTCCAAACAAAAGTAGAAATTTGTTAATTTTAGTGATTGCTTATTGATGAGCATATAATGGGACACTACACAAACAACAAGACAAAAATATATATGTACTTAGAAAAAAAAAAAAAAAAACAGGACTTGCATTCTGTTCCATTCCGAAAGGTAAATTTAAAGCTGTCCCCCAAGCAAGTTGCTTTCCTTTTCCTTAAAACAGTGACACCAATTTCACAACAGAAAACATGTAGCATATGGTTTGAGCATTGGTACATGAATTGGGGACGATGTCACAGTAGTTTAATTGGTTTTTTCAATTAATAAAATAAGTGTTAATCAGAGTGCATTCATTTATTTGATATTATTGGATTATTGTGAAACTTATTTTATTAATGTATTGTGAGACTTCATTATAAGATAAAATTGTGATTAACACTATAGAAACATTATTTTTTTCCTATAACTTTTAAATTCTGCTTTCTTTTTCTTTCTTTTTTTCCAACTTTAAATTTGGAGACCAAAACGGTCGGATTATGGACCCTAGGAGGTCGAAAAAATGTTCATAAAAGTGTAACTTTTTCATCAATAAGGTCTAAAGAGATATTAAGAAGATATATGTGGAATAAAGATTAA